GTACTTGGGTTTGAACTCAGGGCTTTGTACTTGCTAGGTCAGGCACCCTACTGCTCTAGCCATGCCTCTAGCCCCAGAGACCCTGAAACATTTTAGGGAATGGGAAGTTGAAATGAGTCTTTGACTGCTTTGTGCTGGTATGGGGCATAGGCCTGCATCAAGAGTTTCTTGCCCTTGCCTTCTGTTGATGGGGACACCTGAGATTCCAGGTCGTGGACAAATCAAGGGTCTCTATAGAATGGCTTATATCCTTTGGAGATTGTAACCAATGATAGTTGTGTTTGAAGAGGAGGAGAAGCCATAAACTTTGTATTGTGAGTAGAGAATGGGTCAGTTTCTAGGGGGGGAGGGGTGTGTTTCAAACAGAGCTGGGAATTGAACCAATGACCTTATGCATACTCTACTACTGGGCTACATAACCAGTCCCTAAAGGTAAAAGCAGCAGATTTTGCTGATAGATTGATTGTGGGGATGAGAGGACAGAAATCATGGGTAGCATCAAATTTGGGCTTTTGGAGTTGCTGTTTATCGTAATCAGTATCATAGAAGTAGTAGCAAGTTTTGGACCTGGCTGACTTTCAAAGACCTACTACATGTCCAGATAGAGTACGTAATTAAGGATAAGTCTGGAGTGTAGGATAAAGATTTGGATTGTAGATGTGGAATTTGCTATAAAGAAAAAAATTCTGAAAAGACTTCATTTTTTTAAAGGAGAATCTAGTTGCAAGATTAAAAATTGTAAAATCTGTCAATCGTCTTGATTTTACACTGAAGGATATAGAGAGCCAACTAATTTGAAAATCACTTTACTGTTCTATTATCCAGTCAATCTCAAATCAAGAGAAATTGTCTCAGGTAATCCCAGAGAAACATTTACCAGAAGTTATGCTTGATCATTTCAATTTAACATCCTACTCATAGAATTAATTTTTATTCAGCAGATGAATGTGAGTATGCTATTGATTGAGAGATTCCAAGTTTGTGAAGTCTGATTTTTTTTTTTAACCTACTGTTGGTTATAAATAAGATAGCTATTCAGATTTTTGTTAAAATTATGCTCAGGCATGATTACTGGCAGGAATACTAACTCTTCTCTCAAAACTCTATTTGATTCTTCCCCAAGCTATTTTTATAGTTCAGCTTGTTAACATCTTATAGTGAGTATGGTTCTCTATACATTTTATTTTATTATTTTATGCTGGTGCTGGGACTTGCACTTGCTTGCTAAGCAGGCACTATACCTCTCCAGTCATGCCCCCAGCCTTTTTTGCATTAGTTATTTTTCAGGTATGATCTCATGTTTTTGCCAGGGGCCAGCCTCAGACTGTGATTCTTCCACCTATGCTCTTTCACATAACTGGGATCACAGTTGCATGCCATCATGTCCAGTGCATTGGTTGAGATGGCTATTAGAACTTTTTGCCTGGGCTGGCCTGGAATCTTGATCCTCCATATGAGTAGCTAGGACTAAGTGTGAGTCACCACACTTAGCCTGTCTTTGTATTTTAATAAAAGCAGTAGATACTTAATTGGAGATGGAAGCATAAAAGCACTCTCTTTTTTCTTAGTTTTTTTAAGACAGGGTCTCACTGTAGGCCAAGTTGGCATCTAACTCCCTATGTAGTCCTGCCTGGCCTTAAAACTCTTGATCCTCCTGTGTCAGCATCCCCAGTGCTAGGATTACAGGTGTGTACCATGATGCCCAGCTTCAAAAGCCACTTTTAAGGGGTTGCAGAGTGGCTCAGGTGGTAGAGCACCTGCCTAGCAAGCATGATGTCCTGAGTTCAATCTCCAGTACCATCCTCCCTCCAAAAAACAAACAAACAAACAAAAACCCACCACTTTTTAAGTATCATTAGTTAAGATCCAGAATTACAAACAAAATTCCAAGTGGTGATTTGAAGTATATTCTTTTTGTTAGAAGTAAAAATTTGTTCCTTTAGAAAATACTACATTTTCCAATATACACTATCATCTGATAGTCTGTACCTTGTACAGATTGAATTTTTAAGGTGCCTACTACTTACCAGTGGTGTTTAGCAAGTCATTGTCAGAAACCAAATTCTTTATTTCCAAGTGCTTGGTTTCTTTTCACAGAAGTTTGTGTTCTTTCTCGTGCGCACGCAGTTTCCCTTTAGTCAGCATGCTTGTGTTCCCTGAAGGTATTCAGAGACTTAAATTGCTTTTGACCCCCAGATGCTCTGCTGTTAGAGGCTCGGTTTCCACATCTGTGAGAGTGGGAGCAGTAGTGTTTATCTTATGGGCCTTGAGAGTGTGGTGTAAAGCACATAGGGACTGTCTGATAAATGGCAGCTGCAGTTACCTGTATTGACAGAACCATACTGTGCTTTTCCGCTTTCAGTCTTGAGGAAGTTAGTCTAAAATTCATCTGTTTTAAAGACATTAGTTAGTAATATATTTTGATAGGATAGGCATTTCTGTTTATTGCCTGGAGTACATTTTTTTTTTATGTGTGTGTAACTGGTATTTGAACTCAGGGCCTCACACCTGCTAGGCATCACCTGCTAGGTGATGAAGTGATGAAGTACATTTTAAAAGAAAATACTGCATAATAGTAAAGCAATATTGCATTCTTTCTGCCTGTTTTATACTTTCAGCCCACTGTTGTTGTTTGTTCTCAAATTTACTCATGTTTTTTTTCTTGGCAACTTAGTGTCTAGTGAGTGTGAATTCATGTGTTTCTCTATTTTCTAGACTTCAGCATTTTTACAAACATAATAGAATTTATGCCTGAGTGTTAAGAATCCAATTAGATAGTAGTAATGAGTCTTACTTAGTATTAGCTGTTACTTGATCTTGCTGAGAGAATCAAGCTGAAAGTGAGTATCACTGATCATGTTGTAATTTACATACCTTTCACTTTATCATTTCAATTTCATTTTGCTTTATAATATGCTCTTGGATTTGTAGTGAATATCTTGTATTTTGACAGAAATGTGTCACATTACGAGAACCTAACAGAATGAAACTTGTTTTATTTACAATTTTTTTTTTTTTTTTGGCAGTACTGGGGTTTGAATTCAGGGTCTCATGCTTGCTAGGGGGTTCCACCAGCCCTGAAACTTGTTTTATTACTATATTAAAGTTTTGAATTTAAACAGAAGAGAAACCTAAACAAGGGGACTATTGGGATGCCTGTGTTTGTTTAGGGGACTTTTAGAAAGGCTTCCATTTAAAAGCATGAATCTCTTCTGCTGTAGCCAGCCTATGGAAACAGTTGAGTGTTGTAACCTGTAATCTCTATCTTAGACCATGTGGATTGTCACTTCTGTATAGATTTGCCTGAAACGAAAGTAATTCCAGCCACCTTAAAAAAAAAGAAAACCCTGCAAGTAAATCCTAATTCTCTTTAATGTCAGTATCAGCTATTATGATAATTCTTTATGTAAATTGTTTAGAGCTAAGGTCCAGGTTTCTGCTAACTTACTTGCTAGACATAAAACAGGCTTTATCATTGGTATTCGATTTTACTGGCTCGGAGTGACAAATTGATGATACATTTGTATAGGGGTTATGTTATTAGCACTTGAAACAGGTCTGCTAAGTGAAACATTCCCAACTGAAGGACAGACCTACTCGTAGTTGTAAAACATACATTTGTATATCTTCCCTAATAGCTCAGATTTTTTTTTTAATATATTATATACCCAGAAGAAAGTGAACCTTGGCAATTAACCAGGGTGAGGAATTGGGAAGGGCAGTTAAAGTGAGTGAATCATAGTAGTTTAATGGTTTAGCAAGTAGGGGAATGCTGCAGTTGTTCATGGACTAAAAATTCCATAGAATAATAGATTGAAGGTGGATGAGGACTAAACAGGATCAGCAACAATGAGCAGTTGGATGAGTGGGATATGATGGGTTGCAAATGGAAAGAAAACTTGATTTTAGAATCTGAAAAGTTAAGTATTTGACATGTGGGGTAGGTTGTAGAAAAGGCACCGACATATATTTGAAGTCTGAAGAATAATTACAAGGCATAATGAGTCAGGTGATAAAATCATCTGTACCTTTTAGGGAATATTCATGAAATCAGTCTGTAATCTTAAAAGAGAAAAAGTCATCATAGGTAGATTCTGCAATGTGAGAAGGGAAATATGTTTTAAATACCATAATTCAACAGTATTCTGCAAGTGACAGTAGAGACCAAGAAACATGGATTTTTCTTCCTTCACAGATTAGAAGACGTATTGTGAGTTTTCTTTGTGAGAAGTCATTAAGGCTTTTGTTATTTTAAGGAATAAGCCAGGTAAAGGACTTTATGAAGTAAAGGAAATTTTCTTAAATGAGTTCCTTCCATGTTGTATGGTGAAGAAAATAGGTAAGAGAACAGATATATTATTATGAGGCAAGATTGGCAGACTAAATCAGATTGTAAGATTGGGATGGGATGGTAAAATTTTTTCAAATAACCAGATTAAAGGAATTTTATTTTTGCTGTATTCCATATGTAGGCACCTACTGTGGCTAGATGTTCTTCTAGGAGATGAGTAAGATTGGGTCCTGTCCTTGATGAAATAACAAGGTGAACCTGACTGATACTGGTAATCAGATACTAGAGTACCTAGTAATAGTGCTACAAGCTGTGTGGATATGCAGTGCAGAGAAAAAGAGATGGGGCTGGAGTTCCTCTGTGGCAGTCAAGGCTTCACAAAGAGATACAGAACATCTTGAATTGAATCCCAGAGGATATGTAGGCTTTTCCCAGGCAAGGGAGGGCAGAAGGAGTGTTCCAGGCAAAGGCTTGTTCAGGTAACTCCAGTGCAGCACACCTCCAGGAGGGAGGTGTGCTTGGACCAGCAGACTTTGCTGTAAAGATCCATTGGAGGTCTGCCCTCATTAGGTTGTAGAGTCTTGACTTCTGAATTAAATAAGAATAACTTAGTGCAATCCTAATATCACATTTTTCTTTAAGAGTCACAATTTTATCAACGTGAAATCAAAGATAAAAAGACCCATAAATATCCTGCTTTCCATGGTACCTTGGGCTGAGGTTTGCTGCAATGGTTAAGATCTCTTGTGTGTTAGGAGGGCTCCTCATGCTTTTTTGTGTCAGTTCATGGTCTTGCTGATTTGTCTGTAACCTGTTCTCTATCTCTGACTCTAGGTCAGAGTGAGATGAACTGCTGTAGTGAGTATCTTGCAACCTTAGCCGAATGAACTCATCTTAGGATATGGCTGCCCTGTGTCCATAGTTGAGGACGGCTACTTTGAGTTCTTTACATGTTCTGACTTTTTGTGGCATTCGTGTTCATGAATGCCCATTAGCTATTCTCACTGAAGTTTCCATCATGTGTGATTTGGTGCATTTAGAATTCTTGGGCCACATTCCAGTAACATGCTACATTCAAAGAAGGTTTCTATTAAACTTTGTGATGAAAAGGTGAGGAAATAGCTATATGAATATAAAAGGCCATCTGGACAGAAATGGGAATCTATCCAGGAGTGTCATCTATGGTTGGTTTTCCCTTACTGGATGATCAGAATCTTTTCAAGCTGTAAATTTTGGATATTGCAATAATCTTACCAGCTCTAGCAGCTTGGGGGTTTGACTGCCTCTTAGAAGTGTGAGTAATGCCGATGGGTGTCATCTTTAACCATATCCAACAATGATCTTCTTAAATAAAAAACTTGCTATGTTGTCCACATTTGTGAACTGTCTAAGTGGGACAAAGATTTTAAATTTGTAAGTAAAAGCATTTTTAAATAAATAAAAATCTTGCTTTTTTTTTTTTTTAAGATCCGTAATCTGACTTCACAGTCACTTTTTTCATTATTGTTTTCCAGGCTTTGTCCATACACTCATATGTTTATAATTTTAGCTTAGAAATATTTGAGTGTTTTACTTCCTTTCCCTTTACTATATCTTCATTATTTTCCCAAATTCAGTTTTAATAATGACCATAGCTGTCAAATATTCTTTTTTTTTTTTTTTGGTGGTACTAGGATTTGAACTCAAGGCTTCCTACTTGCAAAACAGGTGCTATACCACTTGAGCCACACCTACAGTCCATTTTGGGTCTGCTTATTTTGGAGATGGGGATCTCATGATCTATTTGCCTGGACTTGTCTTAATTATAGGTGTCAGTTAGTGCCTAACTAAGTATTCCGTTATTAAATGGATGTTCTTCCAAAAGTATAAAAGCATAAAAATGTTCCTTATAACACCATCAATGATGATGAAAAATTGGGAACATATTAAGTATGTAACGTTAATGGGATAGTTAAGAAATTATAGATGGGTCATCAAATTTCAAGGTAAAATTCGAATGCTTGACTGATAGTGGTTGCAGAAAGAGGGCACCAACTTCAGATCACTAAATGGAATTTTAACATTTACATTTCTCTGATAGATCTAAACAATATGAACATTTGTGTGTGCATGCTTAAAACCTTTTTAAACAGTACATAGTGAATACGTTAGAAAAGCAACAGGCTGGTTTTTAATGCATGACCACCAATTACATTGTAAATGATCATTTAAAAATTTGGATAGATACTATAATTTATCATCAGAATTTGGGAAGCTATTTTTGATATCTTTATATTTCATGACGGTTCATTCTAGCAGCAAATCGCCCGTCCCTCACAAGAAGAAAAAGTAGAAGAAAAAGAAGAAGATAAAGCAGAAAAAACAGAAAAAAAAGAAGACGAAAAGAAAGATGAAGAAGAAAAAGATGAGAAAGAGGACT